GAACTCAGGGGCACTTGCCTACTAAGCCACATCCCCAGCCCTATTTTGTATTTTATTTAGAGACAGGGTCTCACTGAGTTGCATAGCACCTTGTTTTTGCTGAGGCTGGCTTTGAACTCATGATTCTCCTGTCTCAGCCTCCTCAGCTGCTGGGTATTCAGGCATGCACCACGGCACCTGGTCAAACATGACACATGATTCTTGATGCTCTGATCCCTGGGCAGGGGCTTGGGCTGTTAGCCCACACTGCCTCCAGCTGTCAGATCATTGGTGTGGAGAAGAGATTAGGAACGCTGGTCTTGGACCACACTTTATACCTTGACTCCAACACCCACCATCTTTGTGGCCTTGAGAAAAACCCACCTCACCTCAGGATGTCGAATGCAAATGACTGTGTGGCCCATACTTCACACTTGGTAGTCGTTACATGTTATCATCATTGCTATTATTAGCTACAGACTGACAGTGATGGTCGTTCTGACCAATATAGCTAAGTTTCTAGTAGAAGTCTATCTCTTATTTTACAATAGATAAAAAGAATAAGATAAAAAATAGTTATTCATTTCCATTTTTGTCTCTCTCTCTCTTTTTTTTTTCTTGGTAAAACTGGTGGATTGAACTCAGGGCCCATGCAAGCTGGTCAAGTGTTCTACCACTGAGCTATACCCCGAGTCCTGCCCCCACATTTTTTTTCTTAAATAAAATAGAGAAACCCTTTGGAACTTATTCTTCAATCGTCAAGAACTTCAATCTAAATTATCACTCTATGATAGTATACTTGACATCAGGAATAGATCTTTTTTTCCTCCCAGAGAAACAAACTTAAAATTCACCCTCGCTCCAAATCAAATGAATCCAGTTACTTTGTTTTGTTCAATTAGCTTCTTGGCCAGTATGGAAAATAAGTGCACAAGAGATAACACCAGGTCAGAGGAGTGGGTGAGCTCTGATCAGCCAAGGAGAAGTGAGTTGGACGAATTTCCCTGATACATGCTTGGCTTGCTGAATTGGTCCCTGACTAATTTCTCAACAACATCAAGAAATTCAGAATGAATACACTAAGTAAAGAAACAAATAAAAATATTGGTGCCCAGGGAACTATTTGCCTTGGATGATGTAACTCTAACTTTCAGTTAATTACAGTCATGGAGATTTTATGAACAACAATTCACTTCACTGCCACTACCAAAGATGTATTTTGTTCCAGGTACAACACTTACTGAGAACTTAATAGGCCCTTAGGGGAGATTGCAAAGTGAAGGAGACAGGGACCATGGAGATTCTAGGTACAGAACCAACTTCTAGCAGAGGCAGTATCCCAAGGATAAAGCTTAGCATTAACACAGAAAGCACTCTCTGTCCTAATGAGCATGAACCTCTTCCTGCCTGCCACTACCTGCCCCATCCAATGCCCCGGAAGCACCTGGTAGCATGGGAATTCCTGAGTCCAGGGAGGACCAATGAAGTGTGACACAACAGTTATAGAATCAGAGTGGCCATAATGCAGAGAAGTGACCGTGAGGGGAATGGAACTTCAAAAAAGAACTTGTGAGAAAGCAAAACTATGGCTGGGTATGGTGGTGCATGCCTGTGACTCCAGTGGCTGAGGAGGCTGAGGCAGGAGGATCGCAAGTTCAAAGCCAGTCTCAGCAACTTAGCAAGGCCCTAAGCAACTCAGAGAGACCCTGTCTCTAAATAAAATATTAAAAAGAGCTGGGAATGTGGTTCAGTGGTTAAGCTTCCCAGGGTTCAATCCCGGGTACCAAAAAAAAAAAAAAAGAAAAGAAAAAGAAAGAAAGAAAGAAAAGAAAGCAAAGCTATTTCAAACGATAGTCTCAGTGGCACTATATTTAAGGTGGGGAAAGTATATAGAACTAAAAACCACATGAAAGTATGGAAGGGCCAGAAATATCATGATGGGAACTATGATGAAATAATATACAATTCTTTAAACTAACAAGTTTATGGGTTGCAAACCTGTGGAGATGTTCATATAAAACAATGTAAAATGGAGAGTCACAATGGAAAGCTAAAATTAATTTATGTATTTACACTGAAATGTTGAACAAAATGTTATAAGAATATGTCACAACCTGAAAGATTGGAATCTTTATGGATTCTAGCCTGTATCACTTTTTTATTTCTTTGTTTTTTTATTCTAATTTGTTATATTTGATAGCAGAATGCATTACAATTCATATTGCACATAGACAGCACAATTTTTCATATCTCTGGTTGTATATAAAGTATACTCACACCATTCCTGTCTTCATACATGTACTTAGGGTAATGATGTCCATCTCATTACACCATCTTTTTTACCCCCAAGCCCCCTCCATTCCCCTCCCAACCCTTTGCGATATCTAGAGTTCGTCTAATCCTTCCATACTCCCCCTCCCATAGCCTGTCTCACTTTAAATGAACCTCTGGACCCTGTTGCTAGATTTCTTTAGCAAGGTCGTTTTCTCAGTCTGGTAACCTCTATTTCATGCTTCCTCCCCTCTCCAAACTTCTAAGTCCCCTCGTAACAGAACCCCAGGAGCTGTCTGGGACTCTCCCTCTGCCTGCTCACATCTGGCAGCACCATACCTGACTTCCATAAGGTCTTTTGGATCTTTGAATTTGCCATAGTCTTGAGGTCTTAATTCTTCTATGCATTTTCTGCTGCAGGGAAAGCCTTGCATCAAGTTGGTGAAAACTTAAGTGTCATATTTATAGGCTTCCACTATTATCCTCACTCTTGGGGGACCTGCATTTCCCCTTCATAGCACTTCACACACTCTTTAATTATCTATGTATTTGCATGATTATGGTTCCACTGTGTCTCTTTCCCCTGCATAGATGGTGAGTTCCAGGAGGAATGTGATGGTAAGTTTTATGAGTTAGTCTGATTGGGCTATGGGGTGCCCAGATACTTGGTCCAACATTATTTGGCATGCTTCTATGAAGGTGGTTTGAATAAGGTGAACTCTTTGTTTTCTTTTTCTTTTTTTGAGATGAACATTTGAATCAGTAGACTAAGGAAAGCAGATGCCTCCCTAACATGCCAGGCCTCATCCAAGCAGCAGAAGGCATAAATAGAACAAAAAGGCTGACCATCCTACAGATAAGAGAGAATTCTTGCCTGATTGCCTTTGAACTGGCACAGTGGCTTTTCTCCTGCCTTTGGACTCAAACTGAAATAATGGCTCTTTCTGGGTCTTGAGCCTGCTGGCCTTCAGTGACCACACCACTGATTCTCCTGGGGTTTCCACAGCTGACTCACCCAGCAGACCTTGGGACTCACCCACGTTTACAAAAATTGCATGAAACAATTACTTAAAATATAGCTCTTTCTATAAATATATACACCCTTTTGGTTCTGTTTCTCTAGAGAACTCCGACTAATATAAGTAATATCTGGACTGTTCACAATAATACACCTTACCTACCATCCGTGCAGTGCTGGTCAAGCTGGTTGTTTCATAAAACTTCACTGAAGGAATATATGAATGTATATGTGTATGCATGGGCAGACAGATGAATAAAGTGATGTGAATATAATTTAATATTCATTAAATTTTAATTTTTCCACAAAACACTATGTGGCATATGCAGACTATTGAATACATGTGTTCACTTGAGTAGTATTTTTCAAAGCATTTTCATATTACAGCAGTGTTTATTATTATTATTATTCTTAGATCCCTTTGACGGTAGACATCATTCCAACTTCATATTTGAGGAAATGGAAGTTCAGAGAAATTAACAGATTTGCCAGTGCTCCTATCGTGAGCCAAATGGCAAAGGCTGAAATTGAGACCTGATAAATTCAGACCAAGGATGTGGATCTTCTGCTTCTGTAGGACACTGTGTCCACTGCAGGGTGTTGGAGAACATGGAGGGCTGGAAGGCACAGAGACATTATCCTGACGGGTCTCTCTGCAGTTCGGGAATGGTAGGAGGTGACAGTGGTCTGGTCTGGGGAAAGGTCCTGTGATATTGGAATGATGAGGTCATGAGCAGTGGGCAATGAGCCTTAGACATGGCTCTCAGGTCCCTCTTTCACATGTAATCCACAGTTGTCATGGCCACATTTTCAGTGAAGTTCTGGTGCTCGTGTAGGAGTCATATCAATCTCTTAATTATAACTCACAGGTGGCTCCATAAACACCCAATTTAGATGTAGGACAATGGAATGGGAAGCACATGGGTTGAACCCAAAGGTGTGGTTGGAGAAGTCAAAGGACAGAGAAAGGTCCAGGAGAGCCAGTAGGTATATTCCCACAGTCTGTCACTCTGGCAAAGCCATGACCTTGTTACCCTATTATTTGTCCTATTTGAACATTCACAAAAGACACAAGCTCAAAGAGCAGAGCTGTGATAGGGGAGGAAGGATGATATAAAACCACCCGTAACCAAGGGAAGGCCTGATTCTCAGCTTGGATGCAGAGAACTCCTCCCGGGGCCCTGAGCGCCTAGCGCACCTTTTCATCATTCGACTTTCACATCCTGTTGAAGCCTTCATCTTCTTTTCAGCCCCTGTCTGCAGCAGCTTTCTACAAAGAGCTTGATGACAGCTCAGTCTGCTGGGAAAACCACAACCTCCCTTTCCTCCTCAGAATCATCTTTGGACTGTGACACTCAGCATCCTTAATGAGGTGGGGTTTGCAAGGCCAGCAGTACAGGGGCTGGTTACCTCCGTCCTGACAGCTTCTGAGAGTCCAGCAGCTGCCTCCAAGCCCAATGCTGAGATTCACCGGACAACGACAACCCGATAACCAGGAGCTGAACGCTCGTTGGCCTCTCATGATTTTTGCATTATTAAATTACTAAATTTTTATATTATACTTTCACAGTGCTAAAATCATAACAGTTACTTGAGGGACACAGTATAAGAAGATTAAAACAAATCCAATAATGAAAATAGCTACTCTTTTTACGCTTTGTCTAAGTTACATTTTTCATTTCTCAATAATCTATTTTCCTAATAAGGAAAATGAGTTTCAAGAGACACTTACCCAGCAGGGCAGGGAGTTGGAAGTTGGGAATTAAGAGTCTCTTGGCACTGAGGTTATTGGTTGGCTGTGTGGCCTTAGGTGAGTCTCTTTATCTCTCTGGGATTTAGTTTCATTTCTGGAGATAGGAAAAGAGCAAGTTAGACTTGAATATGGAATAGATCCTCTCTTGCTCTAAGGGTTCTCACGTTGAGTTTCATTGCTTTTCTTCGTCAATGATTATTCTCGTTCTTGTTTGGGTTTTTTTTTGTTTCTTACTTCCCTTAACTTTCTCCTCATCCAATTCTCAAGTTGTCACCTTTCAGAGAGCTTTTCCCTGGCTAGGCTAGTCCTGTGTAAACTCCTGCCCGCTGTCCTCCACTTGTGGTCATAGCTGATGGTTTCCTTTTCTTTTTTAGCTCATTTTTCTTTTCCCTTTCCTTTCTAAACTTTTGTAATTAACACGTATTAATTGTACGTATCAATGCAGAACGGTCCGCCATCCCAACACGTTCCTACAGCATGCACTGATCAAATCAGGGTCATTCGTATCTTTTCTTCATGTTTGGAACCTTCAAGCTCCTCTTTCCTAGGTCCTCATAAAATGTATAATAGGTCATGGTTAACCGTAGCCACTCCACTGGGCTGCATTACACCACAACATAGTCTTTCTATCTAACTGTGTCATCCAACCTCTCTTTATCCCTCCCTGCCTCCCACTAGTAGTGCCTAGTAAGCACTACTCTACATCCAGGTCAACTTTTTTTTAGCTCTTACATATGAGAAAGAAAATAACAAAGCAGGAGACATCACAATACCTGATTTCATGACCTACTACGGAGCCATAGTAACCAAAACAGCACAGTGCTGGTGTAAAACCACACACATGGGCCAATGGGATGGCATAGAGAGCCCCAAATAAGCCACACATCTACAGCCAACGGATTCTTGACAAACGCACCATAAACCTACACTGGAGAAAGGACAGCCTCTTCAACAAATGGTGCTATGAAACTGACAAGACTGAAACTTGACCCGTATCTCCCACACTGTACAAAAGTCAACTCAAAATGGGTCAAGGACCTAAGGTCCATGTAAGCCATACTAGTTTTTAATTGACTAATGCTTTTTAACATATGTCCCCAAAAACATAGGAGACAAAAGCCAGAATAAGCAAATGATATTATACCGAACAAAGAAGCTTCCTCACAGCAAGGGAAACTATCAACAGTGAAAGGCAACCTACAGAATGGGAGAAAATATTTACCAACTATTCATCTAACAAGGGATTAATATCCAAAATACATGAAGAACTCAAAACCTCTAACAATGAAACAGCAAGTTCTCCCATTAAAAATTGATTTGATTTTCTTCATGGAACTTTTTTTTTTTCTTCCTTTTTTCACTCTATTGCTTCCAAAAGAATGGCAGCCCTATGAGCCCGGGATGTGTCTGTGCCATTCATACCTGATCACCCGTGCGGGAGCTCCTTTGTCATGCTCCTTACAAAGCCTAAATACCTGGTGTTATTGCCACAAACTGGCCCCACTTTCCCACGAGGAACAAAGTCAATAATCAATAAACATTTATTGATTGAATTGGTGAAAAAATCCAACTGTTTGCAAGTACTTTGGATTCTACCACAGAAAATTCTGGAACTCTGTGGTTCAATATGGTAGTCAATGGTCACATATGACTATTTAAATTTAAATTAATTAAAAGTAAAAATCCAGGACCTCAGCCTCTCTACCACTTTTCAAATACACAAGAGCCATTCGTGGCTCCTGGCTTGCCTAACATAGAGTGAAAAACAGAACGTTTCCATCCCTGCAGAGAGTTCTATTGGAGAGTGCTGGTCTACCTTCTGACCCTTCTTCTCCATCTCACCGTAATTGCTCACCTGGATTCTTGCAGTACCCTCTTCATGAGCCTGACAGTGGTTTGTTTCACACAAGTTCTTTTTCCACATGGCTTTCTTCACTTATTTATGCCAGCTACCGTGTTAGGCACAGAGGACCAACTGGGGCCTGAGTCAGATCTGGTCCTGATGCAATGAACTTACAGGCCAGTGATGATGTGTGCATGCCACCCCTGAGCTGAAGAGCAAGTTGGATCCTCTTCCCCAAAGCATCTCAGTGTCCCAGATCCCTGTGCTGTGCTTGGGAGATTCAGCAGAGCCCACTTTGCTGTGTCTGGAGGGATTTAGCTGAAATGAGGGTGGTAGGCATGCAGTGCAGGGTGGGGCATATGTGTGGGGTGCACTGTGTGGGAGTGGGGTGTGTGTGTGTGTGTGTGTGTGTGTGTGGTGGGGTGTGGGGATGTGGACTGTGTGGGCAGTTGCACTTGTGCCTTTTGGGCCTTGAGTTGGGTCTCATGGTGCTCGGCCCCATCCCTTTCTGGCAGCTTCTGACTGGCACTCCATCCTCTCACTTTATGCTCTTCCCTGATCTCTGCCTACCCAGTCATACCTCAGTGCTTTTGCACAGGACCAACCCTCAGTGAGATTTTCTTTGTTTAACCTATGAACGCTCACTTCAAATTTCACTCTATGAATCCTTCCCAGCCATCCAGAGATGTCAGGGGCTCTTTCTCTCTATGTGTCTGTGGGTATCTGTACTAAGCCCAGTACATCGCTGTGTTTACTCTAATGAGCCCCCTCCAGCAGACCAGATTTCCTCCAGGGAACTCTGTATCCATCATTTGATCCCCAGTGCAGGAGATGTAATAGGTCCCCAATCAATGATTTTGGACAAATGATGAATGAACCATGAAGAGATGGATAAAGTGAGTGAATAAATGTACAGATGTAAAAGTGTCCGAGCCATCTGCATCTCCCCAGGGAGTCTGCCTTGGTGCCAGACTCAACACAGAGGAAAAAGACCGTCATTGTCTGTTACTCTTATCAAAGAGAAAATCTTGGTTTCCATCTTAACATTTTTATTTCCTATCGTCAATGTTCCCTTCACCCTATTTTCACAGAGGACACACCTTTTATATGCACCCACAAACTTTCCTTTGTGGCTGGCCACAATTCTAGAGAGATCATTCACTTCATTTCCGAATACAGAGACCTAAGGTGCTCTTGCTTCTAATTGGGGAAGTGACTCTCTGATATCAAAATTCTCACCAGCCCCTCCTAACTTTTACTTAAGAATCTGAATCAAAACTGTTTTATAAGAAGTACACAACATTTTCATTAAATGATACCAATCGGAAGCAATCTTAACGTTTCTTAATTTTCCCCAGCTTGTAAAAAACAAGCAAACTAAAGAGGAAACTGTGGCATTGTTAGACAGAGGTTCTCTCCAAGGTGCCCTAGAGGTGCCCTTCCATTCACCCACCCAGATTGTTGTTTTATAGTTCTGCAGAGGAAAGAAAGGGGAAGTCCCTGGCATCCCTTAACAAGCCAGGTCAGGAAGCCAAACATTGACTAACACATTCAACTAGTTTGTGTGCTTTCTGAGATTCAAATAGATTATCCTGATCTTTCAGGGTATGTTTAAATAAGTAGATTGATTAACTCCCTCCCCTGTTCTTCCGGTGACTCTGAGGTACATCTTCAGAGAAGGGACCTGGGAATGTTTACCAAAAGTAGACAATTCCAGCTTCTTATTGCTCTCCCTTGAACTTGAAGCTCTGAGCCTGTCACTAGAGGTTGGGGGGGACAAAGAGGGTTAGAACACACCTAGAATCACCACTCCCTAGGATGACTAATGTTAACTTTGCTAGTGTCGATCATGCAAGGACAATATGCCATCATCATGACACCCTGGTTGCTAAAATCTTTTACTAGTCACTTATTCAGTGATTAAGATGCTAAGCCAAATCTACCTCTCGTTAAGTCTCTCTGTGTGTGTGTGTGTGTGTGTGTTAAAACTTCTGGTTCTCAGTAGATATTAAACCACCACAGAGCAGGTGTGTCTGTGAAAGCTAAAGGCTTGTCAGAGGCTCTGGACTACCCAGCTATGACTTTTCTAGAAATGAGGGAATCTTCTTCAGACTGAGAAATGGTTGCTGACTCTTAAGTACTAAAAAACAAGTGATCTTAATATGAGGCAAGTAGGTTTTCGAGGAAACAGTGTTGTGTGAATCTGGTGTTTCCATGATCTTGGCTTAGCTAAGGTGGCCTGATATCCAGCCTCAAGTCTACATGCAGGCTTAATGAGGACACTGGACATCTTTTGTCCATCTTAGGGAAGACTTTTTAAAAATAAAATCAAGTTAAGTTTCAACCCATGAAACGTAACCACACTTAAGCAAGAACTGCTTGATCATTAAGCTGGTCTGTGTGGCTTTCCCAAAAACAACAGGGAATCTGACAAGTATTGTCTGAGGGACAATTTGTGGAGGAGAGAAAAGAAAGTAAGATCCACACGTAGTCTATGCTCTGCAAGAGGCCACAGTCTAGGTGGGGAGATAATTCACTCACAAAATTATGGTTAATATAGCGTGAGACAGTGTCCACAAGGGCTGAGTGAAAGTCAAACACTCAAAGAGGAGGGAAGATCCCCATGGTCTCTCCATGTTGAGCCTTGAGGTATGGAAAAGGTTTGGGATGAGGGGAGAAGGAGAAGGAGGAAGAGAGGAAGAAGGGAAGAGGGGGAAGTAGAGAAGGAGGAGGGAGAGAAAGAGGGGGCACTTCAAGAAGGGCTACTATACATTTTAAAATTGAGTTTGAAGACAAATGTTATGTGATTCTACTTGTATCAGGTACCTAGACCCAGAGAATAGAATGGTGGTGTCCAGGGGTTGAGGGGAGGGAGGAAGGGGGAGATATTCTTCAATTTCATTTTGGGAATATGAAATCATTCCAGAGATGGGAGATGGTAATGGTTGCAAAACAATGTGAAGGTACTTAAGGCCACTGAAATGCACTCAGAACAATGGTTAAAATGATGAAGCTCATGAATATTTAAAAGAAAAATGCTTAGGGGAGACAACCATCTGTCCCTAGAAGAGACAGGATGGATTCATACTGAAGGCTTTTGATTGCCGCAGTCTGGCTGGGCACAATCAGGAGCCACTTGTCAAAAGAAACTAACTTTATTTTTAGAACCACACACGCCAAACAAAACAGCCTCTCAGGAAAAACCCTCAGAGCCTCAACTGTCACCACTGGCTTTCCACAAGCCTCTCTCT